TCCAATTCGTTATTATACGACTCTGTAGAGATAATAGTCTTAGGAAACTATAATGAATTCATTCAGAAGTAGACCACCAAACTGTGAGTATGATTTTATTATGGTGTAAACTACCCGACTCGAAATTTCAGTTAGGCAGATATTCGGTCCGCATTAGGCTAGCCTAATTTGCCTGTTAGGCCCGCATGCGGTATGTAACGCGGAATATTCACGACCGCCTATTTGGGAAAGCCGCGTTAGGGCCGCATTAGGCTTTCCCAATGACTATCCAATGAGGCCAACCGCATTAGGCCCATATTAGAATAGCTTTATTAGGCTGTCATTGAGAGACGTTAATGAAATCTCACGAGGAATACCTTGTCAGGACACTGCATGGATTAAATTGTAAAAACTTTTATCTTGTTAAAAGCTCTCACGCATGCGTACGTCCGACACTGAGACGTCTGTAAATATTCCTACATATAAGTTTGAGAGCCCCACTCCGCCTAATTTAGGTGTGCGCTCGGCTATCCCCATTTCAGCCACGTATGGCAACTGTTAGGAATGCCCAATCTAAGCGGGCGCTCGACCACCCCCATTTGGGCCACGTACGGCAACTATTAGGAATGTTTAACTTAGATGTGCATTATTCCTTCCGCATTAGAACCTAATGCGGTAAGGATTAGGCTTGCAGCATTTAAGTATGCCTAATCGTTTCCGCATTAGGCCCACATTCGTCTTTAGGCATGCCTAATTGAAATTCTAGTCGGGTACGTTTGGATCGAGGAGATTCATTTGCATCTTTCTTTCTCTTAGAGATTTGGATTTTTATATACGCGGAATTAATGCTCTTCTAATACGTTGGTAAAAGTGTATCGAACATTCTAGAAATTATTTGAAATAAAAATGTTTAATTTCAATGGACTTGTGTTTTTTTCAAAATGAACGGCTTAAAACTGCGGGAACTTTCAGGACGACATAGCAAAATAAATTGTAAATATAAATACAATAATTCAAAATTCAGAAACTTAATATTTCTACACTTGCTCGTTAATATTTCTGATTAATACGTATGCCGATTGCCCAATTTGTCAATATAGGTGACCTGTCCAGTGAACGAACACTTAAGCTACAAGTCTGTTAAAATTAGTATTCACAAATCGTTATTTAATCCCCTAAATGCTATTACTGTAAGTGAGCTGTCTCATAACAAAGATCATACATTTCGGAACACAAATCTAGCAATGTTTGACAGTTATAACCTTTATTAAAAGTCTGGCACTAAGTGAAACATGGACCAAATGACCAATGAATGAACAGAATAATATTTTTGAATAAAACGTGGTTTTCAATGTATTTATTTACTTTCCACGATTAGTTAGGGCAACTGTTGCAATCAGCGGAAAAGAGAAAGCAATACTGCACATATTTTATAAAATTCTGAATATAACTGTAATGCTTTATTTAAAAAATGTTAAAGTACACGAAGAAATATAAGCATGATGTGCAGGTACTTATAAAATTCAAAAGAGATGTAAAAGGTGTGGAATACATAATACAATTTAATCACATTTGTCACAAATAAACTTTCCTTTCCTACTACAACATGTACAATTCTCGTGCCACCATAAAGAACACTGAATCCAATCCTGTTAACATTTACACTCGCATTGTTTCATCTTTTGAGTCGTTTTGTTGCCCTTTTCTGTACTCTTCTTCTTGGGTTTTTTTTTTTTAACTCTTTCCATTCAGACTTTTCTTTTTCTTTCTCTTCCTTCTTCCTTTCCTCTCTTTTTCTCATGCTTTCGAGGTGGATCATCTGTTTCTCTTCCTGTTCCTTTGTTTTTCTTTTCCTTTTTGCTTGCATGTCTCTCCATTCGGGTAATGTAATGCAGAAAGGTTTATACTTCTCCGTTTTCTTCTTCGGGATGTTCTCAGAAAGCTGTTGAGAGATATTCAGATCTTTGCTCCAGGCTTCTTAAAATTTTACATACTCTTCATTTGCATTCTTCAATGGCGCGATTGCCTTGACAAGTCACCTATTGGAAATAGGGGTGATTGAAATAAAATTGTCTTTGTATAACTGCTAATATTCAATTTATTCTACAACTCTGAAGAAACGTCTTCACTGTTTTAAATGCTCTATGGAACTGTTTCTGGACACCCAAAAAGAGAAAGCTGGGATCCGCTTATACCTACGAACTGTTTATCCTATTGTATCGCAGTGTGCAGTGCTCGAATCGAAGACGAACACCAGACACATCTGGTGGAAGTCCTGTTGGATGACCTTATTTAGTCACCAAATTAGTCACGCTTGTTTTCGTCGCCCAAAATTCCTAGGGTTACCTACAAATAGTCATCCCGCAAGTAAGGGCCATAGCAACCCTCTCCCCACCAAAACGATAACAATATAAAAGACTCCTCGAAACTGTGAAGAAGATTCGTTCGGTCTTGTGCATTCGTACATTAAGCAAGCCGTTCGTTCCGCAAGTCGCGTGTTTTATAAGTTACGAAGCAACAGTTGTATCCGGTGTTGTACCATGGAAACGTCCGAAATAAGGTACAGTAGAGCGTCAGTTATCCGAACCGTCGATTAACCGTTCGAGGAGTAAACAAACTTATGGTGTAGCGGTGCCGATTGATAAGTAAAAAATAAACTTTCTTGATAAATGAATATTGTTACTTCGAAGCATTTTTTTCAATATTTTCATCGATAAGTAATTTTAGGCTTCATTCCTATAGTTATAAACTGGGTAAGTACATGCATATGTTTCATTAAGTGAACTGTTTGATTATCTGAACAATTCGATTTTCCGAACCACCTCAGTCCGAATTGGTTCAGATAACTAACGCTCTACTGTATTTTAGTATAAGTAGGATAAATCGGTAACAGCGTCTCCAACCCGGATCCCAACAGTCCTAGTGTCTTTGTCTAAAAGAACGCCGAGACATTTTTCTCCTCGCTCGATTATTTCTACAGGGTGTTCTTAGAAATAATCCAACTTCGCCCTATTCGTTTCTCCCGAAACATCCCTTCCATCAGTTCAAATTTATCAATCAACTGTAAGGAATGCGAGATTTAAGCGGCGAAGTTGTGGCCTGGTCTTCGTCACCCACGGTCACCGGAAGAGAAAGCGCGCGGATACTTGAGGGTGTCATAAATTAAACCCTTTCCCAGGACAGTCGGGCTAGGAGGCTCCAACGGTTTTTCGGAGCAGCGCAGGATAGGACGCGGGAGAGGGTACTTTCGTTATAACCGTCGAACGAGACGGACACCCGAGCTATCTTAGTAACCGCGGATATTGCAAAATAAAATAAATTTGTTTAACAGCCTACACTGCGTCTTGTTTATTAAAAGTGTGTCTTACACAACCTATTCCCCATAGAAACGAGCTCGCAAAGAGCATAACCAAATCGCAACGTGCGTTCGTACGATCACATCGTGGAGCTAGAATTACAATGGAATCTGTGGGATCAACAAGAGCACCGTGTACAGCGAAACTGTCAGAGAAGAAACGAGAAAAAAGGAAGAAATACGAGCTAGAAGTTACGAATCGTTCGAGAATCCTCGATTGAATTCTTCGCGTCGAATTTCCCTCCCCTCTCCCCTTTCTTTTTTCCTTTTTCATACCTGTGGCGCGCCTCTATTATCGGTTTCGTGCTCGAAGCGTTTCGGCGGGGAAACAAAACGCGCGATAACGAATGGAAACTTGCGGCTGGCGCGCGTGAACTATACGTAGCTTGCACGGACGCAGATTAATTCGGGAATTAGCGATGGTAGCGTCGATATCGTCCAGGCGACAGACCAAATAGATTAATAAAATGAATCTTGATTGCTTCTGAGATACTGTTTGCTATTTTGGAATAGTGGATTCTAGGGAAAAAATGGCGGATTACTTTGGTGCGAAAAGTAGGAAATGGGTAATTATTAATCGTCTGTTCGAACAGTGTTCTTCAACCTTTTAACACCCGCGGCCCGGCGAAAATAGGAGAAATATTTCACGGACCGGCGTCAGCCAGTAATAAAAACCAATGTAGATAGAATTTTGTTTGTTAAATCTAATGTTATAAAATTACAATTTTTGGTCAGTGCGACATCTGCTGCTGCTTCAACGTTGCAGCGTTGTTTCTAAGAGACGAAGCGCTGCATTAATATCCATTTGATTTCTCTGTTTGGTTTTTATTACTGTGTTGCGACCTGATGAGGACGCAACGAAGTCTCGGTTCGGCGGATTATAGTAATAAGCCACTTAGTCACATTTGGCCGCCAGACCGAGGTGCCGACGTTCGGAACACCGCAATATACCCCCCGTGGACTCACCAGCGCGACACTCGGACAATAGGTCCCAAAAACACTCGGGACCATAAAACATTCGAATTTGTTTACAACACAGTTTTCGTCGACAAAAAGGTCACAGTTTTCGTCGACCAATAGCCGAACACACCACGTTTTCCACCTCCATAACACAACCACCAATCAGAACCAACCTAATTCCTATATATACATCTACACACCTGAAAACCGGGCATTAACAGTACAACAGTGCACGAGACACATCGTCAAAAAAAAGAATAACCGAATTTCAACTAAACATCTATCAACGAACCGAAAGCAAATCATTCGTCAACCATCTACCTCAACGAACCGAAAGCAAATCATCTATCAAACATCTACATCAACGAACCGAAAGAAAAACATCTAACCCAACAACCAAGTTTCAATACACCTCGAACCAGCGAGAACTATCATCAACCTGCGCCAGACTCCAGGTCATAACATTTGATCAAAGTCCACGACGCAACTGACATAGCAAATATTTAGCAAATATAATAAACCGGCGCTGGTCCGCGGACCACCGGTTAAAGGCCACTGTGTTAGAAGTCTTTGAAGAGGATTTTCTCGATAATAGAAGTCTGTTTGTATTAGGTTTCTGTTATGTCATATTTAGGGCTTTTTTATACTATATATTTTAAATTTATGTTTATGAAGTAATATACCATTCGAACGCGTAGACGTCGCCCTATCATATAAGCGATACACTTTTGTTTTTTACCGTCATTTGTTCTGAGTATAACTTAAAAACGTAGCAATGGACAAGAAGCAAATTCGTACCATATTCTTATATGAATTTAAATTAGGACGTAAAGCCGCGGAAACTGGCCGCAATATCAATCGTGTATTCGGTGAAAGCACATAGTGAACGTACTGTTCAACATTGGTTTAAAATATTTCGTGGTGGTGATGAAAGTCTCGAAGATAAAGAAGGTCGGGGGCGGCCTTCTGCCATTGATAATGATGTACTGAAAGCATATGTCGAAGATGACCCGTGTACAACTGTGAGAGAACTTGCAAAAAATCTAAATGTAAGTAAAACAATTGTATCTAATCACTTGAAGGAAATTGGAAAATTGGAACAGCTTGATAAATGGAATCCTCATGAACTCAACGAAGGGTAGAAAAGTCGTCGATTCGAAATTTGCTCTGCACTCCTTAAGCGAAAGTGAACCATTTCTTCATCGAATAATAACGTGCGATGAGAAGTGGATCCTGTATGATAATCGCCGTCGTTCAGCTCATTGGCTAGACTACGATGAAGCTCCAAAGCACTTCCCGAAACCAAAGTTACACCGAAAGAAAGTTATGGTGACAGTTTGGTGGTCAAAAGCAGGTGTTATTCACTACAACTTCTTAAATAATAATGAAACTATTACTTCAGAAAAATATTGTAAGGAACTGGAAGAAATGCATAAGAAGTTATTTGTTAAACAAGCAAGTTTGGTAAATCGTAAGGGACCAATACTCCTACACGATAATGCCCGCCCGCACGTATCACAATTCACGATTCGGAAGATACACGAATTGGGTTATGAAACATTAAAACACCCTCGCTATTCCCCCCGAATTATCCCCTACAGATTACCATTTTTTTTAAACATTTCGATAACTTTTTGAGAGAAAAAATCTTCCGCAATAAAGAGGATGCTGTAAATATCTTCGTGGAATTTATTAATTCTAGAACTCCGGATTTTTATTGTAATGGAATAGGAACTCTTACAAAACGTTGGAAAAAGTGTATAGAATCTAATGGAAATTATTTCGATTAAATAAATTCATTCTAAGCAAAACTACGCGTCTTTAAATCTCATATACGGAAACCGCAATTTATTTACGGACAACTTAATAGAATATTTACCGTAGATTTTGGATAAATTTTAATCAGTAATTAACTAAAACTTATTTTAGAATCGTGCGTTTCTTAGTTTTATTATACAGGGTGAGTCACGTTGGATTCCGGGTGATGGAATGAGTGTTTGGTCGCGTCACAGCGTCGACGTTGAATTTGCGACGGTTTGATGACGCGGACTTCGAACTGTTAATTTTGCAATCTTCAGTGAAGTCTTTCGAAGGATGCGATGGATACGTAGTGGACTCTATTGAATTATGAATAATCACACAATGTTGAACAACGATATACTTGTATTAAAATAGGTAACCAGATATGTTGCAGTGTCTGTATCGAATGTGTAGGCTAATGTGAAGTGACTGTTGGTGCTTGTGATACTGTTCTCGAAGTGTCTGTGCGTGCTATTTTATCAACTTGCTGTGTGTTTCTATTCGCTGTTTAAATGTGTAGTAGAGGTGGTTGAAGAGTGTTGATTGGATTTTTGTGAGTGTTCCGGGGGTGACTGTCGTGTCGAGAGGGTGGGGGTATTGTTGTTAAA